AAAAGTTATTTAAGTAAAATGTATTTAATTTAAATAAAAATATGTTATTATTTTATTAAAAAATATCACTTAAGGATTTGTATATTATATAATATTAATTAATTAATTTTAAAAAATAATTAATTAAAAAATATCTTATTACTAAAAACAAATGAAGTAAATGAAAAAAAAAAAAACATGAAAAGGCGTGCAAGTGCAATGCCACACAAGGCAACAACAAACGGCGTCATGAAGTTAGTTAGCTGAGGGGCTGATTTGCACTCAAGGTGAGGTTGAAGGGCTTATTTGCCACTTCCTGTTGACAAAGTTGAGGGGCTTAAGAAGAGTTTTTGCCTCTCTTTTTTGTTCATTTCCATCTTTATGTGAGAATGGGAAAGGAGCCTTTTTGATTTAAAAAAAAAAAATAGAGGGAAAGGAGCTCTTCTAGCATGTAGTCCTTGGTCAAAATGGTGTAAAAATAAGTACTTAAATATTGAGATAACAATTGACTGTTTGCATCTTAACGGTCAAAACAAATGGCCTTAACAACGGCATCCAAATAAGGACGACATTCAACAGAAAATAGGAAGTAGAGGGATGACAATGAACAATTTGTTAGTAAAAGGATGGATATGAGCAAAATATGAAAGTAAAGGGACAGACAGATGGCTTTAACCCTTTTCTTTATCGGTAAAGTGGTCATTAACAGACTAAGAGTTTGTTTGGTGTAGCTTCCCAAGTGTTTCACTTTTTTAATACTATTTATATTTCATAAGTTTAAATTTTTCTCCTAAAAACTTACATTTTTAAATATTTCTTTAATTTTAAAAAGATTTTAAACAGTAAAAGATCAAAGGCTTTAAATTCAAACTTTTCATAAACTTCTTTTTTACTCACTTTTTCCTATCTCTAAAAATAATTTTTAAATTTTCTCTCGAATAAAAATTTAAACTTATCACTCATGAACAGTAAAAAAAAAAAACAAAAGCTTCAACAAGTTGCACTAAATAAGCCCTTTGAAGGTGTTTGGTGCAGATTATGAAAAGAGCTTTTTGGCTCTAAAAGCACAAGTTTCACCAAATGAGTCAGCTTCTCAAACATGCTGTAGCTTTTTAGAAGCTCATCTTCTCCCCATTCCTTTGCAAAGCCCGGAAGCACCAATTTCTTGCTTCTGCGGGAGCTTCTCGCTTCATGTTTAATGAAATTGACATGGTATTTCCATTTTATCATCACACTTCCTTTTATTTAAAAAAAAAAAAAAACCAGTATATAAGGGTCCAATTTATAACATCACCCACCATTACCAAGCAGCACAAGCACATATGTTTCTTCTTCCTATCCAATCAGAGAAACAAACCGAAAATACTTAACTATCTTCAACCTCATCCAATCAAAGAAACAAACTGAACATACTTACCGTATTCTTTCTCATCTTACTTCCCGCTAAACTGAAAATCCCTCATCTTCCGTTCGGAGATGAACTCAGGAGCTAGGTTTGCGACAAACCTCACACCTAGGTTCTGAGACGAACCTAGGAGCTTGGTTTGAGACGAACTAGGTGCTAGGTTCGTCGCGAACCCTTCGCCTGGGTTCCGAGACAAACCCAGGAGCTTGGTTCGAGACGAACCAGGCACTGGGTTCATCACGAACCCCTCGCTTGGGTTTCGAGACGAACCCATGAGCTAGGTTCCAAGACAAACCTAATGCCTAGGTTCACACAAAT